GGTCCCCCAGGGGCACCAGACATGCCGCTGGCCCCCCCCCCATGGTTTTCGCATTCTGCGTCACGGCGGGATTCGCTTCGAAATGCTGGTCAGAACGCACCCCAGGAGAGGTCTGGGGAGTAGCGGTATCGGTGTTTTTGGGTTGCCCCAGCGGCGACCACGAACGCAGCAGGCACGGTGACAGCGGCGATTCCGAAGCCCCAAGAGGGCCTTCAAGAGTCAAAAATCTGCACATTCCCTTTTGTAAAACGTACATTTTCAGCATACTCGCTGACTTCGTCTTCAGTGCCCCAGACGCCCCCGCGGAGCCCCAAGACAGCCCAAGCCCAAGAGAGACCCAAGACGGCCCAAGACGACCCAAAAAGGTCGGCCTGTGGAGCTCACGGAACCCCCCAAGACGGCCCAAGAGGCCCCAAAGCCGGCCCAGGAGGCCCACAAGACGGCCTCAGGGAGGCCCAAGAGGGCCCCGTTCGAAATCATGTTCCAGGAAGCCTCTCCCGGAACATGACTTCGGGGTTCCCAGGGCCCCCTAGAAGGCCCCAGGGCAGCCTCAGCGAGGCCCAAGAGGGCCCGAGATGGCTTCAAGATGGTCGAAGACTTCAAGAGGCAAAAATCAGCCCGTCCCCGTAGTAAAACGTACATGTTCCGTATACTCCTTTGCTTCGTCTTCGCAGTGCCCCAAACGCCCCCGTTGAGCCCCAAGGCAGCCCAAGAGAGACCTGAGAGGGCCCAAGACGGCCCAAGAGGCCCCAAAGCCAGCCCAGGAGGCCCCCAAGACGGCATCAGGGAGGCCCACGAGGGCCTCGTTCGAAATCACGTTCCCGGAAGCCTGTCCGGGAACATGATTTCCGGGTTCCCAGGACGCCCACAGACAGCCCCCAGAGGCCCTGGACAAGCCGAAGATGGCCTCAGGACGGCCGACGACGCCGCCAAAACGCCCCAAGAGCGCCTCCAGAGGCCCCTCCAAAGGGCCCCAGAAGCCGAAAATCATACATTTTCCATTGGTTTTTGAAGCATTCTTGCGCTCTCCCATGTTGAGACGGCCCAGGAAGCTCCCCAGATAAGTCAAGAGAGCCTCGAGAGCGCCCCGAGAGAGCCCCAAGAGCGACCCAAGAGGTCCCGAAGTAGCGCGACATTTCGAGGTCTCCGGCCTGAGAGGCACCCCCGGAGGCCATCAAGAGGCTCCCAAGAAGCCCCGTGAGGCTTCCAAGAGGCCCCCCCCGGAAGCCCTAATAGGCCCCCAAAGGACCCCCAGGGAAGCCCCCTGCGGGCCCCCAAGACACTTCGGTAAATCGTATTTCCCAGATAACTTTTCGGGAACATGGTTCCTACAGGCTTGCCGACAAGGCCAAAAGGCGCCTCTCGATAAGCCCCCAGAGCCCCCCTCCTAGAGAGCCGAACAAATCATGCTCCCGGAAAGCTTCCCGGGAGCATGATTCTCTATCTCGGAGTAGGCCCGGGGGGGGGGCGGGCCGCTGCTTGTTCCCCCCATCGGTGCCCACCAGGGGTTGCGGGGGGGGGTCCAGAGCTCCCAAGGCGGCCCGAGCCCGCCCCGAAGCAGGCCACGACAGGCTATGGGGTCCCGAGAGGACCCAAGACGGTCCCACGAGGCCCCGAAGACGCCCAAGATGCCCTCAAGACACACGACGAGGACTCCAACACGTTCCAGGACGGACTCAAGAGGCTCCCCAAGAGGGCCCTTGAAGGCAATATTCACTCGTTTTCCGAGTGTTTTGGATTTTGGCGTTCTCGCTTTCCCCGCTTCCCAGCGTTCCCTCACGGTCTCGGAGGCCTTTCAGATCGCTCCAAGAAGGCCCACGAGGGCCCCAAGACGGCCCATGATGCTCCCCAGACAACCCAAGTGTGCCCCAAGAGCACGCCAAGAGAAGGCCCGGAGGGATCCCGAGGCGGCCCGGGCCCGCCCCGAAGCAGACCGCGACAGGCTAATGGAGGTCCCGAGAGGGCCCAAGACGGTCCCACGAGGCTCCGAAGACGCCCAAGCTGCCCTCAAGACGGCCGACGAGGACTCCAACACGCTCCAGGACGGACTCAAGAGGCTCCCCAAGCGGGCCCTGGGAGGCAAGATTCACTAATTTTCCGATGGTTTTTAAAGGATTTAGGCGTTCTCGCTTTCCCCGCTTCCCAGCGCTCCCTCACGGCCTCTCTCGGAGGCCCTTCAGATCGCTCCAAGACGGGCCAGGAGGCCCCAAAGAGTGCCCCAAAACGGCCCAGGAGGCTCCCCAGACAACCCAATTGTGCCCCAAGAGCTCCCCAAGAGAGAGCCCAGAGGCACACCCCAAGAAATCATGTCCCCAGAAAACCTTCTGGGGACATGGTTCATCATGGGCCCGAGAGTTCCCGAAGGCCCCCAAGGGGCCCCCAGGGAACGCCCAAGAGATCCCCCAACACACCCCAACAAACCATGTCCCCAGAAAGCCTTCCGGGGACACGGCTCATCATGGGCCCGCGAGTCTCCGGAGGCTTCGAAGTACCATCATGCTACAGAAGAGCTGTCTGGGAAGTTAATTGGGAACATGATTGATCGCCTTCTCGCGGCCCTCCGCAGATCGTTTCGCACAAAGTTGCCTCAATTGCCCTCTTGAATCGACGACGACGACGACGACGAAACGACGACGAAACGACGACGACGACGACGACGACGACGACGACGACGACGACGACGACGACGACGACGACGACGACGGCGCGCCCCAATAGGCGACGACGACATTACGAAGACGACGACGACGACGACAACGACGACGACGACGACGACGACGACGGCACGCCCCAACAGGCTCCCCAAGACGCCCCAAACGCATGCTCCCAGAAGGCCTTCTGGGAACCCGATTTATACGTCCTCCGCCCCCATACACAACCATTTTCCTCGAAGGCCTTTCAGAATGCAGATTGGCATGCGTGGACTGTGGTCCACTACTTCAGTGGAGCAGTGATTTCGTCAAGGCCTGGGGCCTGCTAGAACCTGAGCGCGCGCGAAGCGCGCGCGATGGTTCTAATATATATATATATATATATATACATAGAGAGAGAGAGAGGGAAGGGGGGGCGTCTTGGGAGTCGCATCTATTTACTTGTGTGTCCCTGGGCCCCCGCGGTCTCAATGGCGGAGGGCTGCACGGCCGCGTCTGGCCCGCGGGGGGGGTGGCCGCGGCCGCCGCGCCCAGGCCGTTCGCGGGCACCGCAGCCGCGTTCGCCGCGGCGGCGCGCCGCCGGGGCGCGCCCGCCGCGAGCGGCACGCCGCTCCGCTCCACGGCGGAGGAGGCGTTCGGCCTCGCGGCGGAGGCGGAGGACGACGGCGACGACGGCGACGACGGCGGCAACGACAACGACGACGGCAACAACGACGACGACGACGACGACGATGGCGATGGCGACGGAGACGGCGACGGCGGCGACGACAGCGACTGCGACGACGACGACGGCGGAAGGGAGGGGCGCCGCTCGAGCAGGGGATCTATCACAGAATTGATTCACCCCGGAATTGATTTGCTCGTCGAGTCTATCGACATTACGTACAGCATTCGTAGATCTACGAACATTCTACACTTCCTTCCCATGTTTTGCAAACAAGAAAAATGGTGCATCCATTATGTAGTCGATCTCCTACTAGAGCCATCGGGCGCTGGGCGGAGTCGTGCTCGTTAACCTCGTCGTCCTCGTTGTCGTCCTCGTCGCCGCCGCCGCCCATCCGCCGCACCTTCCGCCGTGGTCGTCGACGCCGTTGTCGTCGCTGTCGTCGTCGTCGTCGTCGTCGTCGTCGTCGTCTTCGTCGCCGTTGCCGTCGCCGTTGCCGTCGTCGTCGCCGTCGCCGTCGCCGTCGTCGGCGTCGTCGTCGTCGTCGACGCCCTCTCTCTCTCTTTCTGTCTACCTTTGCCCCCCTTCTCTTCTCCCTCCCCCTCCCTCCTCCCCCCTGCCCACTCCCCCTCTCTTCTCCCTCTGCACCTTCCATCCCTCCTCACTCGCTCTTAGTCTCCCTCCTCCTTCCCTCCCTCCTCCCCTCTCCGTTCGAGGACCGCAGGGAGGACCACCGCGTACGCCGGGACGCGCGGCGGCTGTACGAGGCGCCACGGGGGCTTCACGACGACGACGAGGACGACTTCAATGACGACGGGGGCTCCATCACGAAGACGACGATGGCGATGTCGATGTTGACGCCATCTTCGCAGGTCATCGGGCCCCAAGGAGCTTCCAATCAGCTGCGCCTCGTCGGGGACGGCTCTGGAGCCGCCAGGATCGTCCCAAACAGCCGTCTGAGGCCCGAGTTAGCTATCGTTCTCTTATTTATTGTTTTGCGGATCGGCGCGGGCCCTCGGACCCCTTCACCCCCATGGAATAGATCTTGGCTGTTTTTGGCGCCTGTTTCAAACAGGTGGAGTCTCCCCCCTAGAGCGCACTGTTGCAAACAGTCGCATTAAGCAGAGGTCCGGAGCCAGACCCCCCCCCTTCAGCCCAATGTCGAAACGCCGAATAAGGAAACGTCCACTTACGACCCTGGAGCCGACGACTGACGATGACGACGACAGCGACGACGACGTTTTTTCGTCGACGAAGACGACCGTTCTCTGAAGATTCTCTGAGTTTTTAGGCCCCAGGGTGCTTTCCATCAGTTGCCGGGAACGCCTCGGGGGAGCCGGCTGGGATCGTCCTGGATGAGGCTCTTTATTGCGGCCCGCAAGCCAACCAGCGTGGCCGCGACGACCATGACAACGGCCACTACGGCCAAGATGACAACGACTCCCGCAACCGACGACGGCCGCGGGGACTCGATGTCGTCGGCGTCGTGGTCGTCCGCGCGGTCACGGTTTGTTTGTGGCCGCGGTTGTCGTCGGCGCCGCCGTCGTGTTCGTCGTCATTGACGTCGTTCTCGGCGTCGTCGCGTGGCGGGTGGCAGCGCGACCGACAGACACAGGCAAAAACATGTTCTTGGGGGCCGCGTCTGTCCCTTGGGGGCGTGGGACGAAGACCTGCACCAGGAAGAATGGCGAGATGGCGTTCTACCACACAGATTTTTCGCAAGACCTGAAAAGAAGGCTCGAGATCGAGCCCATGGCAGTAGCTTGATGTCTCCTTCACGACAAGATCCACCTCCGACGCTCGTGCCTGCAGCTGTCGCATCGCATCTCTCGGCAGCGCCCGCTAAACGAGAACCTGCAGCAAGCCCAGTGCCCGAGGACCAGTTCGTTTTTATCCTGGTCCGTAGCCATTAGCTCAAGGCAAACCGATGTATCCGCTGTGCAGGAGACTGACTGGGAGTTGAGGCTCTGCTGCGCTCTGTAGGGCGTGCCCAGGAGCCTCCAGGGAGGCCATAAGAGCTATGTTGGGATCTGCTTGGGACAGTCGGATGCGAAGCTGCGTCGAGGCCTTCATTCCGCACAGCGATTGCGTGCACGATGTAGGCAATGAGGACGCAAGCGAGACTTGCCTATTGAACACAGCTGAAGACAGCGAGACTCTAGCTCAGATAGGATACCGCCCTGACGTGGATGGACTGAGAGCTGTCGCTGTGCTAAGCGTTATCGTCTACCACATGGACACAGGATGGCTGCCAGGAGGGTACACTGGAGTCGACATATTTTTTGTCATATCTGGATATGTTGTTACCGCGTCTCTGCTCAATCACTCTTGCGGCAGCTGCTCAGAGTTCTTCTGCGGATTCTACGCCCGCAGGGTCAAAAGGCTGACCCCAGCGCTGCTAATCTCCATGGCGCCTTGTGGACTCTACATAGCTATCCTGATATCGCCCGCGACTCCTCACCTGGAAGACAGCTTCGCAGCCGCCGCCAGCGCGCTCTGCGGCGTTTCCAATGTGTTCTTCGCGCGGCTCTCCCTGGCGACTGGCGACGGCTACTGGGACGAGATGACAGGGCAGAGCAGGAACGCCGCCAATCCATTCGTGCACACCTGGTCTCTTGGCGTGGAGGAACACTTCTACCTCGTGTTTCCCCTTCTCGTCTTGCTCGCGCACGGGCGCCGAGTTGTTGCATCGGCTGGCTGCCGTCCGCCATGGCCAGCATCCCTCATCATCTTTGGGGCGTGCGTTGTGCTCTCCGGGTGCGTGTCGTGGGCGATGACCGTGCACGCACCGGACATGGCCTTCTATCTGCTGCCCGCTCGTTTCTGGGAATTGGCGGTCGGTGCCATCATTGCCGACGCCCACGCTGCTGGGAGGCTTGACATGACAGCGGACGGGAGACGCGCAGCAGTGGTGGGCGCTCAGGACCTTGTGGCCGCACTGCTGACAGCCTCGAGCCTCGTGATTGATACAGTCAGCATGGGCTTCCCCTTCCCCGGCGCGCTGCTTCCCGTGGCGGGCGCCGCCTGCGTCATCGTGGCAGGGCAGTGCGAGTGGAGCGCCCTGAGACGCGTCCTGGGGCACGAACTGCCAGCGTACATCGGCAAGCTGTCCTATCCTTTATACCTGTGGCACTGGCCTGTGCTGAAGTTCGCTGGCGGGACTGTGGTGGACGATCTGCCCGTCGCCTGGAGGTGCCTCTTGCTGCTCTCAATCATGTTCGCGCTGGCCTCTGCGACGTACCACGCGGTGGAGCGACCTTTCCGGTCTTGGCGGCCCAATGCCCATTGGCACGTGTTCGCCATGTTGTTACCCGCCGCCGTCGCTTTGGCCTGCTGCATGCTCGCACTTCGCGGCCCGCTGTTCGGCAAGCTGAGCATGTCGGCAGGGAACTCAGAAATCCCCTCCGCACACGTCGACCACGAGCATCTCGCCCCCGCGCCCACGCAAGCAGCTCGACCACAAGCAGCTCGCCCATCACTGGCCTCAACAGGGTGCGCGTGCGGCAAAGTCCCTGAATTCACACATGCGCCAGCGATGGCGATCGATGGAATGCAGGGCCAGCCATCTTGCCTGGACATGAGTGGCGGCTCTGCGCTGGACTTGAGCTGCTGGGCTTACTATAATCAGTGCAGCGGCAGTGCGTGGTGCGACGGTGCGTGCGAGGATTCTGACCGAGTTTGCATGCAGGATGACGGCATGGACGATGCACTGATCGCCCTCTTCGGCAGACAGAAGCAGCAGTGCTTATCGCCAGCGGCTGGCGCACAGAGGATGCCCACGATCTTCTTGTTGGGCGACTCGCACGCACTCTACTTCAGGCATGCTCTGAAGCAGGCAGTGAGCGGTAGGTTCGATGTGCGCTCGTGGGCGAGCGTCGGCTTCCACGATGGCCTGTGGAACTCCGATCGGAAGCCCCGCAGAGGGTATCCACGCGAGAGGTTTCATGCCGAGCTTCGGGAGCTGGTTGCGGACTACCTGGCGCCTGGCGACATCGTGGCCTTCGGCTTATCGAAGACGCCTGCGTCGGATCACCGCCGCCCCTCCCCCCTTTTTAGAAGCGCCTCCGCGGCCAAACGTTGGGCCCCAGCTTGGCCAAGCCATCGAGCCATCGGACTATGTGTTCCCCCAGCCGTTCTGGGAACTCTCGGGGGAACACTTGGAGAAGGATGAGGGGTGGGATCAGGAGAGGGAGGAAGAGGAGTAGGAGAAGGACCTATTGGGCCGTTTGGGGCTTTCGGAAGGTCGAAAAGAAGCAAATGCCATAATCTGTCAAAAACTTGCGGGGGTCAATGATGTTTGCTTCTTCGGGCCCTCCTGGAGGACCTCTCGGAGGCCTCTTGGGCCGTCTTGGACGCCTCTTGGCGGCCTCTTGGGCCGTCTTGGGCTCGCGACGAGAAGAGGGAGCGGAGAAGGAAGAGACCTTCTGGGGACATTCTTGGGCGCTCCTGGGAGCTTCCTGGGGTTCTTTTGGAGGCCTCTTGGGGGCCTCCTTGGGGCTCTTGGGCGGCTTTGGGGGATTCTTGGGGGCCTCTCTGGCCGTTTTGGGTGAGTCTTTGGGGCTTCTTGGGCCGTCTTGGAGGCTTCGTCGGCGGACTTGGAAGCATCTTGGGCCCTCTTGGGCCGTCTTGGAAACCATCTTGGACCCTCTTGGGCCGTCTTGGAGGCCATATTGGACCATCTTGGGCGAACTTGGAGGCCTCTTGGGGCCTTCTTGGCGGCGTCTTGGGCCGTCATGAGGTCATCTTGGAGGACTTTAGGGCCACCTTGAGGCGACCTTTCGGGCCTCTTGGGCCGTTTTGGGATTTCAGAAGGCCGAAAAGACGCCTATGTCAAAATCCTCCAAAGACCTGAGAAAATCAATGATTTTGGCCTCTTCGGGCCCTCCTGGAGGACCTCTCGGAGGCCTCCTGGGCCGTCTTGGACGCCTCTTGGGGGCCTCTTGGGCCGTCTTGGGCCATCTTGGAGGCTCCTTGGGCAGACCCGGAGCCATCTTGAACCCTCTTGTGCCGTCTTGGAGGCCATCTTGGGCCATCTGGACCCCAAGATCGCGATTGTTTGAGGACGTCCCTAGCGAGACGGCCGTTGGGGAGGCACGGCAACCACCTTTTCTGGGAGGCCAGCGGCACGGACCGGAGGCCCAGAGGAGAGTTTTTCCCCACATCCAAAGTGGGGTTCTTGTTTTCTCTGCACACCCCCGCGCAGGAGAGAGATCTCACTCACCCCCTCTTCTCCTCGCACTCATTCACACACACATCATCATCACTCGCACTCTCTCACACGCTCACGAACATCATCGTCATCATCGGTATCGGCATCATCCTCATTCAAACATCATCATCGCCACCACCACCCACAATCAATCATCATCCTCTTCACCACTCATCTTCACCACCACTCATCATCCTCATCCTCATCATCGTTGAGTAAAGTGTGAGGAAGTCTCAGGCGGGAGCCCCCTCCCTATGGGGCCCGCAGATCATGTTGGTAATCCGAGCGGGTCATCGGAACCCTGTAACTGTCGTCACTTTTGGGCTCCCCAGGCCTGAAAATGGAGGAAGTCTCAGGCGGGAGCCTCGTCTGTGAGTGAATTGGGAGGAAGTCTCAGGCGGGAGCTCCCTCCCTATGGGGCCCGCAGATTATGTTGGTAATCCGAGCGGGTCATCGGAACCCTGTAACTGTCGTCACTTTTGGGCTCCTCAAGCCTGAATATGGAGGAAGTCTCAGGCGGGAGCCTCGTCTGTGAGTGAATTCTGAGGAAGGCTCAAGCGGGAGCCCCCTCCCTATGGGGCCCGCAGATCATGTTGGTAATCCGAGCGGGTCATCGGAACCCTGTAACTGTCGTCACTTTTGGGCTCGTCAAGCCTGAATTTGGAGGAAGTCTCTGGCGGGAGCCTCGTCTTTGAGTGAATTGTGAAGAAGTCTCAGGCGGGAGCCCCCTCCCTATGGGGCCCGCAGATCATGTTGGTAATCCGAGCGGGTCATCGGAACCCTGTAACTGTCGTCACTTTTGGGCTCCTCAAGCCTGAATATGGAGGAAGTCTCAGGCGGGAGCCTCGTCTGTGAGTGAATTGCGAGGAAGTCTCAGGCGGGAGCCCCCTCCCTATGGGGCCCGCAGATCATGTTGGTAATCCGAGCGGGTCATCGGAACCCTGTAACTGTCGTCACTTTTGGGCTCGTCAAGCCTGAATTTGGAGGAAGTCTCTGGCGGGAGCCTCGTCTTTGAGTGAATTGTGAAGAAGTCTCAGGCGGGAGCCCCCTCCCTATGGGGCCCGCAGATCATGTTGGTAATCCGAGCGGGTCATCGGAACCCTGTAACTGTCGTCACTTTTGGGCTCCTCAAGCCTGAATATGGAGGAAGTCTCAGGCGGGAGCCTCGTCTGTGAGTGAACTGCGAGGAAGTCTCAGGCGGGAGCCCCCTCCCTATGGGGCCCGCAGATCATGTTGGTAATCCGAGCAGGTCATCCAAAACCTGTAACTGTCGTCAATGTTGGGTTCTCGCGCTGCCAGAACGCAGTTCCCAGGCCACACTTTGGATGCAACAAGGAAGTTTTTGGGCTCCTCAGGTCGCCGAGGTGCTGCGACAGGGCGCCGAAGGCGCCGACGACGACGGCCAGGCCGAGGCGCGGGCGCGGAGCTTGCTGATGTTCAGGCCCAGCGAAAGGGAGTTCACATGGCAGAGCTCGGGGGCGCACAGCGTGCGCCGCTCGGGGTTCACCCTGACGCACGCGTCCTACCTGACCTCCACGCTGTCGCAGGGCCAGACGCTGCGCAAGGGCGTCACCATCGACTGCGCGAGAGACGAGGACGCTGGCCGCACGGGCATGTCGGACGAGCAGTGGTGGCTGCACCTCTACGTCATGTTCTCCCGCGCCACGTGCATGCGGAACATGCTGATCCTGCGGCCGCCGCCGCGAGAGTTCCTGGAGTGCGGGCCGCCGGCGTCCCTGCGGAAGGCGCTCCTGGAGTTCGACAAGAGAGCGGTTTTGTCCAGGGCGGAGGCGAAGCAGCTCGCGGCAGAGCTGGGCTTCGTGCTGCCTTCCGCCTGAGCGCGGCTGCGCCTCGCTCGAAGCCCGCGGGGTTGTCCCAACGGCTTGGTCTTGCGCGCCAACGGCTCGCGGGGTTGTCCCGACAGCCTGGCCCGCGGGGTTGTCCCAACGGCTGCGCGACGTGACCTGTAGAGAACGCGCCTGTGCTGGCCGTGGCGGCGACGGCGCCGAGGAACATCGACATGCGCGCTCATGCAACAGGAAGGGGAGGAGGTGGCGGGGCGCGGAACAAACAGGGGGGCGAGGATGGGGACAACGTAAGGAGTGGAAGGGGGGCCCGCGCCAAGGCGAGAGGAAATATACGCAGAAGAGACAGCCAGGACGCCTCACCAACCACGAGGACGACGGTGATGGCTTTTTCCAGATTCGCCCAGAGGATTCTTATGTGGGGTTCTTCCGTCGGAGTAATTACCTAACAGCTCTTGCTGATAGGTTTCTAGTGGTCTCAAAAGAGAGCATCATGACTCCTCAGGGGGTCTGGGCGGGACCCGGGGAGGCTGCCGCCGAAGCCGAAATCGCTTAGGACATCCTCGCAAAATCGCTCTTGGTGCTCCAGAACTCCATTCCCGGGCCACATTTTGGATGCTCGGAGCCAACTGTAGGCCACTTCGTGCTCTTCGACTTCCCAGAACTCCACTCCCGGGCCACATTTTGGATGCCCTGGAGCCAACTGTAGGCCACTTTGTGCTCTTCGATTTCCCAGAACTCCATTCCCGGGCCACATTTTGGATGCCCGGAGCCAACTGTAGGCCACTTCGTGCTCTTCAAGTTCCCAGAACTCCATTCCTGGGCATGATTTTGAATGCCCGGAGCCAACTGTAGGCCACTTCGTGTTCTTCTAGTTCCCAGAACTCCATTCCTGGGCCACATTTTGAATGCTGAGGCAGGCTGATGCTGCGGCCGAGGCAGGCTGAGGCTGAGGCAGGCTGAGGCTGAGGCCGAGGCTGAAGGCAGACTGAGGCTGAGGCTGAAGCAGGCTGAGGCTGAGGCTGAGGCAGGCTGAGGCTGAGGCTGAGGCAGGCTGATGCTGAGGCAGGCTGAGGCTGAGGCTGAGGCTGAGGCTGAGGCTGAGGCTGAGGCAGGCTGAGGCTGAGGCTGAGGCAGGCTGAGGCTGAGGCAGGCTGAGGCTGAGGCTGAGGCTGAGGCTGTGACTGCGACTGCCGTTGCCGCTGCGACTGTCATCGCGAATGCGACTACGACTGCGAGAACAGCAGAATTCTACAACTGGATTTTCATCTGAATCTTAAGGGGAATGCTTTCAGATATGCTTCTACACATCGCTGTTAGGTTGCTTTGCCGGGATAATTGTAGAAAAAGAATCAAAACAAAAACAGTAGGGTCTAGCACGCCAGGCACCTCTGTGACGAACCAACAGGCGTCGGCGGATTCATAGATGGGAAACCTCACGCACTCGATGATTTGATCGTGTCTTTCCTGAACGATTGGATGACCATTGCCGACAATAAAGGTGCCAGAGTCCTCATGCTTGGGGATCATCACTCGTACTTGCCATACTGGCCAGATGTCCCCACGAAGTGCGGTAACCATGGGCTGCCGGCAGATCTGCGCAGACATTGTTTCCCTGAAAAGCAGGACGTGTTGAATACGACGATCAGCTTGAGGCTCCGAGAGTTGCAAAGGACTTCCAGATTGTTACTCTTCGAGTATGCGGACCTGTTCTGTGACGGGACTCTCTGCATGCCCTTCATTCCTGGCAGCAACGTCATGGCGTACGAGGAGTCCCATCACCTGTCCGCAGCTGGCTCCCTGTACGTAGCGCCCTTCCTGTGCGAGTTCTTCAAGAATCATGGGCTCCTGCAGAGCCGCAGCGGTATACAGTAGACATACGACGAGTTGGAAGCAGTTTCAAGAACCAAGAATGCAGAAAACACACAGCGTTCATCCTGGACAGAATTGACCGCCTTGAGCTCTTCAAGACGATGGAGGCCCAAAGTTGAAATCGTCGGACGACTGCGGTAGGCACGCGCCGTGTCGATGTGTGGTCGACACTGGCGCGATTGTTCAAGGTTCAACGCCGCTGGTGGCTTGGCGTTGGAATTCATCGAGCAGTCTGCGATATCGGAAAGCTCCAAATCGTCGCAACCTTGAGGATGCAACTCCTGGGAGGTTGATTTCAGTTTCGGCGCTGGGATATCCGTGATCGAACGTGGCCTAATCCGACATAGCCCTGTTTCATCCCGCTTGACCCTGTTTAATCCTGGACATCATGTGCGCTGATCCTGCTCAATGTTCCCGTACTGGACGCCACTGGCCTTTCATTCGCGGGCGGAAAACATCTCCGTATCGACGGCCTCGCGGGCGGGGCCCCTTGGCCGCGACCGCGTGGGCGCGAAGCGTTTTCTGTTGCGGATGACCCGCGCGGAACGTGTTCATGCAACCGCGTATGCGCGGGATCGCGCCCCGGAGTCCAGACCGCGAGGGCGTGGACATGGATATGTTTTTAGCTCGTGATTCATCGTTATCACGAAGCCTGGTAAGGCTTCGGGCTGCTTGCAGACTGCCCCCCCCAGGTAGTCCCGGCTGGCCTCCACAGGCCCCCGGAGTAGTCTTAAGTCGGGCCTGTCATTCTACAGGAGGAATATAAAAAATAGTCCAAACATAGTCTGGAGACAATTGTTTAAGCATGCTTAAAAAGATGTTCAAGTTATTGTTTGGGAATTTTAATTTTTTCGCCGAAATCCGCCTGTAGGGGGCCATGCCCGACCTAAGAGTAGCCCCAGCAGGCCTCAACAGGCCCCACCTAGTAGTCCGCGGTGCCCTCAACACCTCGACCTTGGGGCGCGGATCGCTTCAGGGGCGCCGCCGGAGGCGGCGCCGCGGTGCTGAGACTGCTCTGGACTTCCCGAGCATTTTATTTCGGTACAGGGGAAAGGGTGAAATCTGAAATGCCGTGTCGATGGGTTTTCGAGGTTTGAATCTGCACGAAAGGTGACTCACAAGACGGATCGACTGCCGAGGTGCAAAAGCCCATGTGGATTTCACCCTGAGCCCTCCACCCTAAGAAAATCCTCTGACTTCTCGGGGAGCTTGTTGAGGCCAGCCGGGACTACTGGAGGGGCCTGTTTTTAGGCTAGCTGGATCTAGCTGGGGGGCTGTTGGCGCGCACACCGGAAGTCGTGCCATCTCGTGATAAATCGTTCTTGCAACGACCTTTCAGAGGTTACATCCTGAGCAGTTGCTCGCGCGGCGTCGGAAGACAACGCCAGGAGGGGAGGGAAAGGAGGAGGAGGAGGAGGAGAAGACAGCCGTGGTCGACGTGGCAATAATCACGACGGAGAATTGTCATGATTTGTTGGTCGTCTCCGGCTTCCAGTTGCCATCGCTGCGCCTTGAAACTCTTTCAAAAACGCGGATTCACAAATGTGAAGCGCAGTTAGTCTCTTTGCCCCCTCCCTCTGCACTTGCATGCATCCTTCTCACTGTCTTCTCTGCTCCCCCTGTTTTCTCCGCAGCCGCTTGGATCACAGGGGGGGCCGTTTGTCCCGCCCTCCCACCCTCTTTTCTTCCTCTGGCTCGCAGCTGGGGGCCCTCGTGTACGCTACTTGGCCAATGAAGAAAAGAGCGCACAGGAGGAGGATCAGGAGCCGAAGCTAACGACCCGGGACGGAAAACCGGCCCCAGGGAAAGGGTCTGGTTTGTCGGAGACCCCGTCTTGACATAATGTCAAGGCATCGGATGTCTGGGGAGTGGGACAGGGGAGGGGAGAGGAAATAGTATACACATCAGAGATCTTTTTAGAACAAGCGTCAATTTGCACGGGCTCCAGATTCCTTCTGAGAAGACCAGGAGTCTGCACTGGACCCTGGGGCGATTCCTCGGAGCTCTCGGTCTTCGTGGAAACATTCGTGCACCTGGACCTGGACTGCTGTGCAGAAGAAACGCCTGGAGCGAAGCCCATTCTCTTAGCGCAAATTTGTCTTGGCTCTGAGCAGGGGTGTACAGTGGAGGTCCATGCCAAGAAGCACCCTGCTTGCCTCCAGGGTGCCTTGGGTTTCTTGGGTTTCGATGGTTTTGCCATGGGAAGCGTGACGCTCCCACACCAAAAATCGATGGACGGCCTGGGGTCTCAAGGTTGGGTTTCTTGTGAAAGGTTTTTTGTGGTCGGGCCCCTCCTGTAGATCTAGGTCGAGGACCTGTGCGTGCCCGAGGTCCCACGTGGCCAGCAAGGGCCCTTCGCTCCGTACTCACGCAGCGCGCTTTAATGCTAGCGCGATGACTGTAGCAGGGGCCTGGCGTGAGAGCGCAGGCGAGGCGGACATGGGGGGAGGAGGCTCTCTCTCTCTCTCTCTCTACGACGGCTTGGCGCATGGCGTGCTCGGTACCGCTCAGTCTGTCGGGAATAATGGTTACCGCGGCCTGAGACCAGGCCTGCGCAACAACAGAACAAGACAGGGAACGATCAAAAAGGAAGGTCAGCCCCCTCGCTCCAGATCCCCGCAGGGCGGGGGACAGAAGTAAAGAAAATTGTGAGAAACTCGCCTCACGGTGCATTCCAGGGCGCACGTTGCGCCAACACGCGGGCCGCCTTTCTGGCACGGGCGGGAGGAGGAGGAAGGAGGGGAGGGGAGCGGGTATACCTCCCCGCCTCTCTGGCAGCAGGGGGCCCGGCGTGGGAGCGCAGGCGAGGCGGACAGGGGGGGAGGGAGGGAGGGACGGAGGGAGGGAGGGAGGGAGGGAGGGAGGGAGGAGGAGGAGGGAGAGGAGGAGGGAGGATGAGGAGGAGGAGGAGGAGGAGGAGGAGGAGGAGGAGGAGGAGGATGGAGGAGGAGGGGGGAGGGGGGAGGGGGGCGGGTACCTCCCCGCCTCTTTGGTATAGTAGGGGCCCGGCGAGGGGAGCGCAGGCGAGGCGCGGACAGGGTGAGGAGGAGAAGAGAGGAGGGGGGGAGGGGAGCGGGTATCTCCCTGCTTCCCTGCTTTCGGGGGCGGCAAAGAGGGGAGGGCTGACTAGGGGGTGTGGATACCATGGCGGGCGCCATGATATCTCTCCAGATTTCATGGCGCCTCTTCTTGTTTCAATACGTCCCTGGCCCCCCCCTGGGCCGCGCACATGCCGCGGGCTATGATTTGCGCCCCCCCCCTTTTGGACGCACCCCTCTTGGCCGCCCCCGATGCTTCCCCCTTTCTCGTCGTCGCCCCCAGATCTCCGACGCCGCATTCTTTGCGATGCCCCGAACAAGCGCGTCCCCGAGGCCAGGTTTCCTATAGCGCGCCGTGATTTCATGGTCGAGGGTCTCTTCGGACGGGGCTCGAGAGATTTCCAGCGGCAGTTGCGCGCCGTGCTCTTCTCGAGGCGTCGGAGGTCTGGGTTCTCATCGCTCTCTTCTCTCTCTCTCTCTCTCTCTCTCTCTGACCCCCTGTCTATCTCGCCCTCCCTTGAGCAAGAAGCCAAGTGTTCACTGGCGGTGCTAAGGGGAGCGTGGATTAAACAGGCACGATGTGCGAGCGCCAAGGCGTCCTAAGGCGAACGACCTCCTGAGCCAAACGCCTGCGCATCAGCATCGCAGCTTCAGATAGGAAAGCGACGGTTTTTGAAGAGCAATGATCGCGAGGGCGGGATGGGAGAAGGCACGCACAGGAGATACAAGATACAAGCGATCACCTGCCACTTCGCTATGCGTCCTCCTCCTTTCATAGAAGGAAGGGTTAGTGATACCGACACGGCTGGATTCGCATCGAAGTTCTGGTCAGATCACACCCCAAGAGAGGTTCGTGGACCATTGGCAGCGGCATGTCAATGGTTTCTTGTCCTCGGAGGTCTCCGGTGATGCCCAGAGGTCCCCAGAGGTATCCAAATATGAGGTTCTGGGGCCACTTCAGGGGACTATGGTTCAGGGGCGGACGCATCGACCTCCAATCGCCCATTGATCGCCGACAGGGGCTCGATAGCCCACTATTGGGGGCCTATCGCTGATCTATCGGTGATGTATCGCCGCTTCCAGGTCGATGTTTCCAGGTCGATGTTTCCCTCCTCATCCAGTTCCCCCCTTTCGTCCCCCCTCACTGGTTTCTGGAGGTCTCTGGAGGTCTCCGAAGTGGGGGGGAAGGAGATGAGATATGAGATGAGCGAGCAGCCCGAAGCCACGGGGTCGTCTGCACAGGCTTTGGCGCGGAGGGTTCCCGCATAAGGTCGCGGGTAGTTCAGCGCCCCCGCTTCCAATGCAGCGAGCCACGTTGGCTCCCCTCGTCAGGCACCGCATAAGGTCGCCATGCCATCGCGCTTGCAGTCAACCCGAACAGTGAGGATGAGCGGCGTTCCAAGGTTGCCCTTGCATCCTTCCCCTGCGGGCCCCGCTCGCAAATTGTCGGCATAGCCTTCCCAAACCCTTGCATCCTTATCGTGCGTCCCTTGCGGAGGAGCAGCAAGAAGAGGGTTGGGAGGGGGGTGGAAGAGGAGGGGGAGAAGGAGGAGGAGGATGAGGAGAAGGAGGAGGCGGAAAATGAAGAAATGGAGGAGGAGGGGGAAATGGAGGAGGAGGAGGAGGAAGAGGAGGAGGAGGAGGAGGAGGAGGAGGAGGAGGAAACGGAGGTGGAGAAGGAGGAGGAGGAGAGGGAGGAGGAGGAGGAGGAGAGAAGGAGGAGGATGAGGAAATGATAGGAAATGGAAGAGGAGGAGGAGGAGGAGGAGGAGGAGGAGGAGGAGACGGAGGAGGAGGAGGAGGAGAAAGAAATGTAGGAGTGCTACGAGCTGGCTGTAAGACCCGCGTCGTGTTGTCGCTGCACGAGTCCCCCGCCTCTTCCAGGGGCGCTGGGGAGGGGCCGAGGCCCGCCCCCAACGGGGCCGAGGGCGCGCACTCCTCCTCCTCCTCCTCCTCCTCCTCCTCCTCCTCCTCCTCCTCCTCCTCCTCCGCAGCAGCAGCAGCAGCAGCAGCAGCATCAGCAGCAGCAGCAGCACGCGGGCTCGTGAATCGTGGGAGGAGGTGGACGAGCACAGTCGGACCGAGGCCTAAAATCGAGGTCCAGCTGATAGGCAAAATCCTGCACCAGCCGCGCAACCGGGGCGACGGCCCAAACTTCCACGCGCCCCCCTGCCCCCGATTCAATGTTGATTGGTTGCGCCCGCGGGATGCAGGATTTAGGACAGTCGGCGGATCGACAAATCGCGCCACGGCCTTCCAATATTGAATTTGGGGCGCGGGGGGCGAAAACAAACATCTAAAAAAGGTGCAGGTTTTTGTCCATCGACCGTCGGTTCTCAAAGGAGATGAAGAAGACGGCGAAGAAGAAGCGCCATAAACGTAAACTTTGGACGCTCCGCGCGGATTTCTTAGATCCGCGCTGCCCCCCCCGGCGGCGCTGCGCGCGCCAGGGAGGGGGATCCAGCGCGGATCCAATAAATCTGCGCGGAGCGCCAGAAGTTTATGTTTATGCCGATTTTCGTCTTCTAACAAGCTCGAGGTCGGTTCGGGGAGGGTGCCCTAAGGTTCCTCGTGTTTGTTGGATGTTCTTGTGCATCACTAGGGAAAGGTACCTTCGTCGAGGGAGGAAAATCCACTCCGACCCCGACAGCTGGCGTTCACTAAACGACCATGGGCGTTTACTAAAGAGCCCTGCCCTGTTCGATTCCTTCCTTGGGCGCGGTTACCAAACGGCTTCGATCGTCGGGGTGCTTATTGTGGGGGGATTTTCTGCTCTCTACTGAACACTCCGTGTGTTCTGGTCAGCGGAGGGTCTCATGTTCTTGAAAGATTCTCTTTTGTTCCAGGTCCCGCCGTAGGAGCAGTTGCAGGTGGAGGATAAGATAATCGAACAGCATCGAAACTTCACGAATTTGAGCTTTCGGAGGTCCGCGAGGATCTATCTGCGTCGGCGCCGGAGGCGCCGCCAGGGGGCTCCAGCGCCGATCCAAGAAATCCACGTGGAACTCCGACAGTGTATAGGAGGAGGAGGAGGAGGAGGAGGAGGAGGAGGAGGAGGAGGAGGAGGCCACTCCAGCTCCCGTCCAGGCCGAGATGAAGCGCGGGGCCAGGCGTACCTTCTGGAGCGTTGTGGCGCCGACGCTGGCCTTCATGGTGGTGGCATGGCTGGCGTGGCCCATCGGGGCGGCCCCGAGTGGCGTTCTCGCATTCGACACCATCCCTCTCGCTTCTCTTCCGCTGCCCGCCTCCTCCTCCTCCTCCTCCTCCTCCTCCTCCTCCTCCACGCATAGTCTATCCTGGCGGCGCACCCGCCTCCCTCCATCTCCCCCGCCCCCTTCCCCGCCTCCCTCCATCTTCCCACGGAACTCCCAACCCTTTCCCCAGGGCCGCTTGTTCATCGTGGGTCGTTTGACGCTTCTGGGGCCCAGCAGGTGCCCCGAGAGGCCGAAAGCGACAAAGCAAATCCGTCTTGATTCAATGCGTTGGATGTCTTGGTCCTGGTCCTCCTCCCTCCTGCCCCTCCCAGAGCTGCCCGTGGGAGAAGCCCGGCCTTGCTGTGGGGGCCCGCCCTCCCCGCCTCTGCCCCCCCTGCCAGCCCGTGGGGCGTCGCGGCGGGGACGATATATCGGGGACCGCCCGCCAGCCTGTTCAGAGCGCTGCGGGCGAGCCTCCAGATCTCGATGGCTGAGGCCACGCAGGAG